CACTCCTGTGTATGACAATCCGCCATTTATCGTCATCTGAGGGGACCATAACTCACCTGTCGAAATATGTAACGCTATAGAGACCTGAGGAGACTAATTACCCCTAGTGTAGAGTCAGCTGACTGTGTGCTGTACATAGAGGACATGTGACCTGACCCACAAGATCACATGACCCTCCCCATCCCCTTCATACAGTACACAGACAGTGCTGGGACCCTCTTTCTGTCATAATAAGAAGACATTATTACCTCCTTCACACTGGACACACATTCTCTAGGAAGTGTTTTAAAATACCACAATTACTTCCTCCTCCTCTTCAAGGCTACAGAAAAATGGCCGCCTACTGTACTGAGGATAATTCTTCAATGGAAAACGCTGCCGTTTGTAATGGTATACGACGTTTGTGTAGAGGAGTGGAAAGAAGGGTTAGCGTATAAAACTCGCCGTATTTTATTAACCAAGAGGGTATGAAAAAAAAGTTCAGACTACAACACAATGGCCACCCCTCTGGCAATGAAGACTTCACACGACAGACGATCACCCTCTAGTGGTGGCTCGGAATAAACGGTGGTCGTCACTGTCTGGCCTCCGGAAGTTGGTAGACTCACTATGGCAACCAAGAAACAGCTGGGCGGCCGTGGAACGCACGCAGCGGAAGTGCGGAAACCACAGTGCCGAAGTAACGATAGGGAGAGGAGAAAGGCAGCTGGTCACGGCTTAGGGAGGTCTCCGCATATCCAGCCTTAGTAAGAGGCTGGAACAAGATAAAAATTCCGTCAATGTTTTTCAACTAGTCCTGGCCAAAAAAGGAGGATGTTGGTGCATCCCTCCACAAAGGGTCTCGTTCAAAAGGTACAAAGGGTCTCGTTCCTCCCACCCCCAATACAAGTTTGGCATACAATGGGGCTCATGTCCCCCATCACTGCCCTTTGCACCTGGAGGTAGTGGGACCTTCAAGGCAATAAAACATGCATGTGAAGAAACGCCAATAGACATAAGGGAAAGGTATCATGATCCTGGTGTCCTATTTCATCAGGTTTGTTCAAACAAAAAAAACGTTTCTGTTTGATACAGCCAAATTTTGAACAGTCGACAGTCAGGCTGGGGAGGAAAGGGGTGGACCAGGGACAGTCAGGCTGGGGAGGAAAGGGTGGACCAGGGACAGTCAGGCTGGGGAGGAAAGGGGTGGACCAGGGACAGTCAGGCTGGAAGGAAAGGGTGGACCCAGGATAGTCAGGCTGGAGAGGAAAGGGGTGGACCAGGGACAGTCAGGCTGGGGTGGACCAGGGACAGTCAGGCTGGGGAGGACCCAGGATAGTCAGGGTGGGGAGGAAAGGGGTGGACCAGGGACAGTCAGGGTGGGGAGGAAAGGGGTGGACCAGGGACAGTCAGGCTGGGGAGGAAAGGGGTGGACCAGGAACAGTCAGACTGGGGAGGATAGGGGTGGACCAGGAACAGTCAGGCTGGGGAGGATAGGGGTGGACCAGGAACAGTCAGGGGGGGAAGGAAGGACCAGGGACAGTGAGGCCGGGGATGAAAGGGAAGGACCAGGGACAGTCAGGCTGGACAGGAAGGGGTGAACCAGGCACAGTCAGGCTGGGGAGGAAAGGGGTGGACCAGGGACACTCAGGCTGGGAAGGAAAGGGGTGGACCAGGGACAGTCAGGCTGGAGAGGAAAGGGGGGGACCAGGGACAGTCAGGCTGGAGAGGAAAGGGGTGGACCAGGGACAGTCAGGCTGGGGAGGAAAATAATAGATAATATATCTCCTTACTTTGGAGAGTTTTCTCATTTCCTGTTCAGGACAGGAAGTGAACAACAGCCCCAGTTGGACAAAGACAGAATAAACATTTTTTTTATCCACTTCCTGCTCTGTTCTTAACTTAAAACCGGTTTTGGCTTTAGATATATTTTAAAGTAGCTCTCTAATTCTTCAGGATTGCCTTCCTACTGCATCAGGTGGTCTGTTCCTGTCTTTAGGTGGCAGGCAGCATGAAGCTTCAATAGACCCTTCACATACAGAGAATTTGACTCTTCAGAGCTTCACAAGTCAGTAACAAGTCAGTTTAAAATAAGTTCATCATTTTATTGATTTGAGGAAGGAAACCATTTGTTTAAATCAAACAAGATATAAAATGTTCCACAGCACAGCATAATACAAATACATTAAATACGATGATGTCCTAGCGGCAGCGTGAGGAAATAATGAAGTTGATGAGGGTTGTAGATGGGTCGTCTATAAGTGTCTTTGATTGTCCAGAAACAGTTTTTTACTATTTCAGAAAATATTAAAACTTTAAAAAAACGATGAAAAGTCTCAAGTAATTGTGGTCATATAAATTCCAAGTCCTAGGTCCTTTCCTAAGGATGCCCACTACTTAGACAATCAACATCTCTTTCCATGGCGATTGGATGGAGAGGTCTGTGCTACCTGTGTGGATATAACTTCTGGGGATGTTCCTGACACTCATCAGAACTGAAGAAGAGACTTGGAGATGCTACAAAATGTCTTCAACATTACAGAGCAAGTCCAGTTGAATGTGACCACTTACTATTAGCTATACCTTGACCTGGATACAAGAGAAATACTGGCAATCGTTCGGGGTGTATACCTTCAAACTGTTGGCGCTCATTGAAACTGATGAAGTGGCTTGGAGAAGCTTTGAAACGTTGTAAATGTTACAGAACATGTCCAGTTGAATGTGACCAATTACTATGAATTACACCATGACCTGATTACATGAGAGATACTGACAATCATTTTGGGTGTACACCCTGAAACTCATTGGAACTGAAGAAGTATCTTGTAAAAGGTAGGAAATGTGTTCAATGTTACAAAACAAGTCCAGTTGAATGCGACTGACTACTACTAGCTACACCATGACTTGTATGAACGAGAAATATCAACAGTCGTTTTGGGGTGTATACCCTAAAACTGGTGAAACTCATTGGAACTGTAGAGGCTTGGAGAAGCTCTGAGACGTCTTTAACATTACAGAACAAGTCCAGTTGAATGTAACCAACCAGCTATACCATGACCTGGATGAATGAGAACCTTCACAGACATCTTCCCTAAGGAGTGAGAACTAGAATGCCTACATTTTAGGAGAAGCCCGCTATTGAGCATAGACATTTTCCGACTCATTGGCACATCTTCTTGCAATGCTTGTTCCTTCTTCTGTGAAGAAATGGGAACGAGTATCACTGCACATCGGACACCAACACACTTAGCCTTAATCTAGAAGAAGATGGCAGCAACAGGTTCTAGTACACCTGAACCTAGAAGATGGCAGCAAGTTTCTACTACCCCTGAATCTGGAAGATGGCAGCAAAAGGTTCTACTATGCCTGAATCTAGAAGAAGATGGCAGCAACAAGTTCTACTACACCTGAATCTAGAAGAAGATGGCAGCAACAGGTTCTACTACACCATTGACCTGGAACAAGTAGAGGTGAGGTGCAGGATTCATATATTCAGAAGATCATTTGGAACGTAATAAAGCACGATGACTACTGTAAGGGCCCCTCTCAACAAAAACAGGACCTCCAACATTCAAGGGAATCCAGGGCTGAAGATATACACATACACTATATTGTCAAAGTATTGGGACGCCTTTACACGCACATGAACTTTAATGGCATCCCAGTCTTAGTCTGTAGGGTTCAATATTGGAATGGATCGCACTTTGCGCTTCAGCATGCGCTGACCCCGCTCTGTCATTTTATGTGGCCTACCACTTCGTGGCTGAGTTGCTGTTGTTCCCAGTTGCTTCCACTTTGTTATAATACCAGTAACAGGTGACCGCGGAATATTTAGTAGCAAGGAAATGTCACGGAACACCGGAATCCAATGATTTGGAGGGGGAGGGGCCCAATACTTTTGGCAATATAGTGTATATACAGTCCAATGAGAGCGCTAAACAAGACAGAATAAGAATCCAAAAACCTTTAATAACGGAAGATGTTCATAAATGAGAGAAAAGAACGGCCAACACATTTTGGGGGTTCAAAGACCTCCCCCCTTCTTCAGGGCTTAAACATTTTGGACTCAAAAAATGGAACAAATCACCAGTGATTTAGTACTTCCTGTGTAGGGTATACCCAACATCAGTTAATCGGCCGATTCCATAACACTACATCTCATGTTTAGGCCCTCAAGAAGGGGGAGGACTTTGAACCTCCAAAACATGTTGGCTGTTCTTTGCGGCTGTTTATGAACCCGTTCCATTATTAAACGTTTATGGACTCTCATTCTGTCTTGTTTGGCTCTCTCCTTGGACTGTATATATGCATGCCGTATAACTATTACACCATTGAGGCAGGGTTATGTTTTACCGCTTCTTGCTCTTGGGGGGCCTTGACCTAACAAAGTGCAACAAAGAACGCAAAATAACCAAATTCGAGAGCTGAGCGCGGTACTTGTCTAAAGTGGACACATTCTAAGAACTCACTGTAGCTATGAGTGATCATGGTATAGCATGAGAGTTTAACAAATGACCTATTTTTTCTGCTTTCATTGTATCCCCCCCCCGTTGCATTTTTTCATTTCAAGCCTAAAATAATATAAGTCTCAAAGAGCATAAAAAATAATAATAAAAACAGACCCCTGCTTTGCAGTTACTAAAGTGCTCAACACAGATCCCATAAAAGCAAAACCTAAGTAAAAAAGTGACGTGAGCCCTATCAGCCTCCGTAGTAAGAAGATAACTGCTGAAAAAGGAAAAAGTTTTGTAAATGGAGCCAAAAACGAATGAATCCATAATGTTATTATTCAGGAGGACGATTAGGCAAAAAAATGGCGCACTGCTGGTTTAGCTTAGACGTTTTTCCACCGTAACACTGCTAAAACTAGTGAAGCGAGCACGAACGCGTGTGGTTACCAGAGTCGGTTGCTTGGTGTATTTCAAGACCGCCAACTTTCTCAAAATGAAAAACGGTCGACGTGAATTATCTGATGCGCAACAAGCCATTTCCTACGCTCATGGCTTCTCCCCCGTGTGAGTTTTCTGATGTTCAAGAAGACTGGCTTTCCGGGTGAAGCACTTCCCGCATGCCGAACACGCGTACGGCTTCACTCCCGTGTGCGTCCTCTGGTGTATCATGAGGTGGTCCCTCCGGGTAAAACATTTGCCACATTCCGAACATGAAAACGGCTTCTCCCCCGTGTGGGTTCTCTGGTGTTTAATCAGAGTCGAATTAAGAGAGAAACACCTCCCGCATTCGGAACAGGAGAACGGCTTCTCCCCCGTGTGGACTATCTTGTGTCTGTTAAGAGTCGAGTTAAAAGAAAAACTCTTCCCGCATTCGGAGCAGGAATACGGCTTCACTCCCGTGTGCGTTCTCTCGTGTAAAGGAAGATACCCCACCTGGGTAAAGCACTTCCCACATACAGAGCATGAATATGGCTTCTCCGACGTGTGAGGCATCTGGTGAGACATGGCTCCTGCCCTCTGGGTAAGACAATGGCCGTCTATGGAGCACGGGAATGGTTTGGCCCCTCTGTGATGGGCGATGGGGGGCGAGTGATCGGGGAAACTCCGGACGTACGTAGAGGGATCAGATGACAGATCTGCTCTGTAAGGCACTGAATGGCGGAGTGCGGCAATGGAGTTTTCTTCGGGCGAGTCATATGTGATGTCATTTCCCATTTCTGAAGAGATCATTCGACGTTGTCCCATGTTATTCCCTTGGTCTTCTTCTCCTGGAGGAAATAGTTCTTGTTTTATATCTGTATATAAACACATTCTTTCTTTTATAAATACACGTGGGACAGAAGAGAAATGCCAAAACCCTATGGGGTTGCTTTATAAAACTTCCTCCCAGCCATACGCTGGGCGAACAGCATTGGCACGGCAATCCCACCACTAGATAGAGCTGAGGAGCATAAGACATCCTTTCCCCCATCTAGTGGTGGGAATGTTGCGCGAACGGCATCTGCCCAGCGTATGGCTGGGCGGATGTTTTATAAATGGGTTATCCCTGGAGACAGAATGGGTTATCCAATGGAGACAGAAGAGCAGAAGCGTCTGGCCTTCAGCCTTGCTCTGTCTGAATCCTCAGACTGAGCTATGCGATGAGGAAAGGAGTCACTGCTTAGACTTAATCATTTCTGTGTGTAAAGCTCCAGTTTGAGCTATTGAGCTGTGTGAACAACAGTCTATTTTTCAACAAAGAACAGGAAAGGGAGCCAAGATCAAATATATATATTGGACTAGTATATCAACCCTCCCAGCAAGTAATGGAATCAGCCAAAATCATGCCGTGTATGGGCAGCTTTAGTCTTTCATACCAAGATCCACCATTAAGAAATAAGATACAATTACTCGAAACAGTACCAATTCCCCACCTCTTATGAGCCATTAAGGAGGACTTAAGCTGATCTGATATGATGCGGCATGTAGAAGGTTTTTAATAATTTTAGACATATTCCAGAAGATGGACATCACACTGTTGTCAATAATACCTCCTTAGCTATCAGATTCTACAAAACAGTCCATTACCCGGCCAGTTCCTGGCCAAAATTCAAGCCGTAGGTGGCCCTGTGGGCAGCACTCGGCCAGACAAAATGTAATGAGAATAAACTTAGCTAGGTGGACAATTCTTGGCCAAACAGTGACTAAATCCTGACAGATGAGGACACTGTATGGGTATCCTGGCAGCTGTGGGTGTTGGCTACCTGAATACGAGGGCCAGAAGGGGAGGTTTCTTTCATTCAACCCTAAGAATGAAAAAACATTGATGGCTAGCTTAAAAGGAAGTGCAAGCACTCCGTCATGGCCTCATCAAGGCAGCTGTCTGACCACTACGAGGGGAGGCCAATAAGTTCTTATCCTCACCATGATCTAGATGTGCTAGGGATCTGAAATTTTGCAGGTTTATAGGTGCATATCTTGCCAATTTTTGTAGGTCGTGGTGAATTATAGTTAGAGCCAAGAGAAATGGAGTAGGTGTCATGCCGGACAAAGTTGAATACCGAGCCGTGATTAGGTTCCATGCTTGTTCGCGATTGTGGCTATGAGTCTCTGCCCCATCCACCTTCCTCACCTGCCCTGGCACCTTCGGACTTCTTCCTGTTTCCAAATCTGAAGAAACATTTACGGGGAAGACGTTTCCACAATGATGAGACAGTCATGATTAAAGTTGGTAGCTGGTTTTCCGACAATTCTGCATACTTCTACGCAGATGGTCTTAAAGGTCTGTTCCACAAATGTGAAAAGTGTGTAACCATGGGAGGTGGATATGTAGAGAAGGAAGAGTCAGTGGACTCAATTTCAAATCCCTAGCACATCTGGATCTTGGTAAAAACTTATTGGCTTCCCCTCGTACCTTGAGGCTTGTTGGAGTTTGTGCAACTAAAACCTCTGATTTTAACGCATACTGTTGACAGGGCAATTTGTTTGGTTGCAGGTGAGCTGGGGATTTTCTGTGTTTTGTATTGTTGGAGAGTAGCATGGCTCCTCAAATGGATTGGATCTTCTACTGGAACCTAACGTGATTACTCAGATGACTAAACCCCATTTATTATAATAATGTGTGTATGTTGTTGGTAATTGGCGTCACCTCAGAAGGCTTAGTCTGTACCTACTGAATTATTATACTATGTGTGTCATACCTCACGTCACAAATGACCCCGTTCTTATATACAATATATAAATGTTTTCCTTACCTGCTCCGATCACAATAGGAATTTTATCCTCTTCAATTTTCACATAATTCACACTTTCTTCCTCGTCCTCCTCCTCAACTTTGATGTCTCTCTGAGTGTCTCCGAGGTCTGTGAATAAAGATGAGAGTGAAGCCCCCTGTACTGAGATGTATGAGAGACCCCAGAGAGTGTGTGTGGGGGGGAGACTGGTCACGTCTCTTGGCTGGTAACACACAATGACATGATGTGAGGAGAGCCGGAGTCTAATAGAGGCTGATGGCTCCTGACTCCCCCCACTAGACATATTCCGTCCCCCCATTACTGTCTACTGACAGAGGAGGGGGGAGAAGAAGAGATTGTTGTAGTGACTGAACACGGAGAATCTGGGACTCTTCTCTGGGTTTAGTGTTTATTACTCACCTGTGCTTATCTCTGGTGGGGCTCCCTCTACTTTACATTGTTCATCACCCCTCACATATATCACATCTTCATCTATAGCCCGAGTTTTATATTCGGTTTGATGTTCTTCCTACATAACAAAAAAAATTAAGGATATCATCCAGGGTCTTGAATTAGGTTTGGGCACCAGCTCCATTTCTTCCGGCTACAATCCATCTACCTGATAGTTTTGAGGGATCCTGTGCTGTTCTTTTGTGGAATCCCGGGAATACAGAGAATGGGCTTGATGGACCTTCTGTTGTACCTGGGGGGAATCCCGGGAATAAAGAGGACTTCTATCTGGAGTATTCCTGTTCCTGGATCCATCTGTAGGAAACACACACACTGACTGAATACATTGTTTCTAGGTCTTTATATCAGAGGATGTGTGTATCTAGGGGGATCCTCAATACTCAAGAAATGAAAGTCTCCTCTTACCCGGTGATGTGAGGGGCGGCCGGTTCTCCATCATGACGTCCTTGTAGAGATCCTTGTGTCCTTCTAGATACTCCCATCCCTCCATGGAGAAATAGACAGATCCATCTTGACATCTTATAGGAACCTGACACACACAATGATACAGTCACCATCCAGACACATCCCTTGTCTGTTCCTGGATCATGTCCCAGAATTCCCGGCACCGCTCACCTCTCCAGTGAGAAGCTCAATGATCTCGCTGGTGACCTCTTGAACCTTCTTGTTCTTTCTAAGGTTGTGGAATGGAGGCTGTACCGTAGGAAGTTGAGTCTTCATCAAATTCGATGCCACCAAGCCATCCGAAAACTTGAAAGCTACATAATTCTATATTGAGTGCAAACATACCAAATCATGTCGCCACCAAAACCGGGTGAAGGTTGTCAAAGCATTACATTTAAAAGGATCCGGTCACAATTATTATACAGGGACCTATCATTAGGATCAAACTTCATGGGAGTCAGTAGGACATGTCAACATCACCAAAACACATCATTCTTTTGTAAATAGGTTCTTCACACACTCTTTCCAGAATCCTCCTCACCTCTCCGGTCAGGTCTGTGTTTTATTACTAGAGATAAGAGTGATGTCATGTGACCTCCCAGAATCCTCCTCACCTCTCCGGTCAGTGATGTCATGTGACCTCCCAGAATCCTCCTCACCTCTCCGGTCAGGTCTGTGTTTTATTACTAGAGATAAGAGTGATGTCATGTGACCTCCCAGAATCCTCCTCACCTCTCCGGTCAGGTCTGTGTCTTATTAATAGAGATAAGAGTGATGTCATGTGACCTCCCAGAATCCTCGTCACTTCTCTGGTCAGGTCTGTGTTTTATGAATAGAGATAAGAGTGATGTCATGTGACCTCCCAGAATCCTCCTCACCTCTCCGGTCAGCTCTGTGTTTTAGTAATAGAGATAAGATAATAACAAAATGGGGAAAGGAGAAGCGCCTCAAATAACAATAAAGTGGACAAAAAACTCCTGGGTTCCAGCGTCAATCTATAATAAGCAAGGTTCCCCGAAAAAAAGGGAATATCGTCTATGTACCTGTGCCAGGACAATATGTGGCACAGGTACATAGACAGATCATCCCTGTCCCATAAATCATGTTCCCAACCGCCCAAACACAATCTGTACACAATCTGTATTTGGGCGGTTGGGAACATGATTTATGGGACAGGGATGATCTGTCTATGTACCTGTGCCACATATTGTCCTGGCACAGGTACATAGACGATATCCTGATGTTCTGGACGGTAATTTAACTTGTTCTCATTCTAAGTAGGTTATTCTAAACTAATTATTTTCGGTATGATATATATGTGATGGCCGGATCTTTATAACTCATATTCTGAAACTTTGTAACCACATGTATATACATATAGATTTGAATGCTATGTAATTGTATACATGAATGTAAATATAATCATATTCACTTAGATACAATGTAGAAGGGGAAATATGATCTGCCTCTCCAATTGTATACATGCGTTGCAAATGCTTCTTCCAGTCTCGTACAAATGCAGCTGCATTCATCCCATTCAGTAGTATCCAGCTATAAATGGGGACATATGTGAGATCTGCTTCCCGTTTATAAACCTTCAGACAGACCCTCTGATACATCAGACCTGAGATATAGAGCACCCACAAACCAGATCTAGAGCTTATGTCTATAGTTTATAGTTATCATCTTTTATGCAAACATGTGTATGAGACTGAAAGAATTTATTTAAATCTGGGGCTGTTACACTTTATAAAACGATTTTATAAAGTAATCACGATGACCACGGAATGTTTTGAGACAAATATATAGGGCTTTACAGGTTGCCCTTGAAAATGAATGTTTAAACCGATGATCGGTTTACTAATTGTTCAAGTACACCTGAACTTCATTAAGCTCTGATCCAGGAGCTATATGACTCACCTCTGCAAGATGTCCACCAC